ATCTCCTTGATTTATCAAAGATAAAGCTTATGCCTTCTTGTTTTCCCTAGTGTTTGGAGAATGAATGAAGGAAAAAGAAAGAATAGTTGTGTCTTTATTCTGGCACCTTAAAACCTTTAGCGTTTTCTATTTCATAGGCCTTTTATCATACCACACTCTCTTCTGTCAGTTCCATTCTGATTCATAATTTCTGTTTTCCAGACCTTCTGGGTGACTTAGCCATTTTGTTTTCCTGGTTCCAGACATGCAACATTTAGTTTATTAATGAATTAACAAGTTCCATATAGTCCTACTTATCATACCCCATTTGCAGTAATTATCGTCTGTAATTGTATAAGGCAGACAGAATGTCCATATAATTTGGAGGAAATTAGTTATCAACTGGGAGAGCATTAGTCACCAATCTCTTATGGGACTCATTTTTCTTATCAGATATGCTGGTTATTCTGTTTGCCTATCTGCCCTCCATTCTCATACTTCTCCATACCAAGAGAAGGACCTCTATGAACAATTCCCCTCACCCATCCCCACCCACTGCCGTTCCCACCCAACTCACTTTTTCTCTGTCTCACTGCATTTCTGACATTACATCTATACCTCCTGAATTATAATGGCTTCTAGTTTCACAGGAAAACCAACCCTTCCTAGCTGGGTCCCTTGATCCTGCCCACAAATCTATAAATTATCTTTTTATTAAATTCTCTTCATTTATGTCCTATATGCCATTTGTTTCCTAACAGTGATACAATACTTTAAAAATTTTAAAAATTAAAAAAAAAATTTTAAATTAAAAAAGTTTAAAATTTTTAAAAATTTTAAATAAAGATTTTGAACTAGTTCATCTCTAAATTTCTCTCCTTGAGTTATGTTCTAGAATTTTTATAAGAGAATTATCCCATCGGCTCTTAATTGAAGACCAAGCAAATCCTTTCAGTCGAGATTCTATCTTACCAAAGCAAAAACACTCTTCAAATAATTATGCTCAGCCCTAGACAATAAAGCATTGTCAGTACAATGTAAACTAGCAGGGAAAGCTAAGATATGCATATTATTTTTTTTAGGCAATGGAGTTAGATAGTTCTGATTTGATATTTTTTATTCAATTCTTTTAATTGAGGTATAATTGACATTGATATTTGTATATATTGTGAAATGATCACAACAATAAATCTAGTTAATATCCGCTACCATATACAGTTATAGAATTTTTTTTCTTATGAGAATTTTTAAGATTTACTCTCTTAGTAACTTTCAAATATACAATATGGTGTTACTAACTATAGATGCCATGCTGTATATTACATCCTTATGACTTATTTCTTTTATAACTGGAAGTTTTTACCTTTTGACCACCTTCACTCATTTTACCCATCTACCCTTGCACCAACTCTGACAACCATCAATCTGTTCTCTGTAACTTTGAGCTTGGTTTTTTGTTGTTTTGGGTTTTTTTAGATTTCACATATAAGATCATAAGGTCTTTTTCTTTCCGACTTATTTCATTTAGCATAGTGCCCTCAAAGTCCACCCATGTTAACACAAATGGCAAAATTTCATTCTTTTTTTTTATGGCTGAATAATATTCCATGTGTGTGTGGTACATGTGAAAGATATATACATCTTTTCTATCCATTCATCCATTGATGTACACTTAGGTTATTTTCTTATCTTGGTTATTGTAAATAATACTGCAATGAACATAGGAGTGCATATTATCTTCTTGAGTTAGTGTCTTCATTTTCTTCAGATAAATACCCAGAAATAGGATTGCTGGATTATGGTAGTTCTAGTTTTAATTCTTTGAGGAATTTCCATACTGATTTCCATAGTGGCCCCATCAATGTACATTCCTACCCACAGTACACAAGGGTTCCCATTTCTCTCATCCAAGTCAACACTTGTTATTCCTTGTCTTTTTATTAATAGCCATTTTAACAGGTGTGAGGTGATAGATCAGGAATGTTGAGCATCTTTCCAGGTTCCAATTGGCCATATGTATATCTTCTTTGGAAAAATGTCTATTCAGATCTTCTGCCCATTTTTTAATTGGATTGTTTGGGGTTTTGCTCTTGAGTTATATGAGTTTATATTTTTTAGATATTAATCCCTTATCAGATATATGATTTGTAAATATTTTCTCTCAGTCAGTAGGTTGCTTTTTCATGTTGTTGATGGTCTCCTTTGCTGTACAGAAACTTTTTAGTTTGATATGGTCCCAATTGTTTATTTTCATTTTTGCTGCTGTTGCTTTTGATGTCAAATTCAAAAAAAATCATCACCAAGACCATGTCAAGAAGCTTACTACCTATGTTTTCTTCAAGGAGTTTCATAGTTTCAGGTCTCACATTCAAGTCTTTAATCCATTTTGAGTTAATTTTTGTGTGTAGTATAAGATAGTGGCCAGTTTCATTCTTTTACATGTGGCTGTCCAGTTTTCCCAGCACTATTTATCAGAGAAATTATCCTTTCCCCTTTGTATATTGTCTTCTTTGTCATAAATTAATTGATCATATATGGGTGGGTTTATTTCTGGGATCTCTATTCTCTTCCATTGATCTATGCACATGATTTTATGCCAATAGATTTGCTATTTTTGACTTTGAAAACACAGAGACATCGAGAATCAATTCCAAAGGCTCAAGTGTTTTTATTTTTTTCTTCTTTCCCTTAGATATACACACCATCAAAGAACCCCAAAATGCAAAATAATAATAATAATAATGTTTCACCAATCCTACCATTAAAAAAGAAATAAATTCCTTGACCTCACCCCACCACAGACTCCAGATTATCTCTTTCTCCAGGCATAGCCAGACTTTGTGCATCTACTGAACTTTTCCACTTTTTCACTTTTTCATCTCATAGACCCTTCGATCCATTCCTATTCTAAAAAGCTCTTTTCAAAGTTTTATTCAACTTCTTTTATACTAAATCCAATGGCTACTTCTGGTCCTTGTCCTAACCTCTCAACAGCATTTGACACCACTGCCACTTCTTTCATGAAATAGTCTCTCCTGTGTCTTTGCTGTTGCCTCACTTTTCTGGTTTTCATCCTATCTATCTGATTACTTCTCAGTCTCTTCAGTGGACATCTCATCCTCTGCCCATCTTTCAAAAGTTCATGCTTATCAGAGATCTGTCTTACTCTTCCTTATCTTTCTACCTACACTCGTCTACTGGATGTTCTCCTCCACTCCTATGGCTTCAGAAACTAATTATATGACTCTCAGATGGACATCTCAAGTCCCAATCTCCCTTCTGACTTTCAGAGATATTATTTGTAGCTAAATACTAGATAACTCCATCAATATGCCCATAGATTCCTTATATTCAATATTTCTACTTTCCCTCAAATGTATTTTTTCACCTGTATTACTTATTCCAATGACTCACACCAAGCCAGAGACCTGGGTATAATTCTTGACTCTTTGCTGTCTCACATCCCCACATCCAATCAATAATCAAGTCCTAGTCATTCTGTCTAAGATGTACCTTAGATCTATCATTCGATTCTCTCTATTCTCATTGTCACTTCCCTAAACCATCATCTTCCTACTGCTATTACTGTTGCCCTCAAATCTAGATTTAACAATAGAGCCACGGTGATCTTTTTAAAAATATGACCATGTTAACTCCCTTCCTAAAAATTTGCAATTATTTTACACTGCTATCAGGATAAAGCCTAAATTATTCAACGTGGCTTACAAGCATCTGGTCTCTTACCCTGTTATCCAAATGACTATATGTTCCAGGCAAATAAAGCTTATTTTAGTTCCTCTAACAAGCTATCAGTATTTCTCAACTAATATCTACAAATCCTTGTTTCTTAGTTTAGCTGTCTTATGCTAAGCCTAGGTTAGATCTGTTCCCATGGCAAACTACTTATCCACTTATCACACTCTATTATAGTTACTTATTTACTTTCTCTATTCCCCTTTTATATCATAGGCACTGTGAGGGTTAAAACTGTACCTATTATAACTTCAACGCCTTGAACAAAGCAGCCACTAAAAAGAAAATAATGGTTAAATGATGTACAGATTTTACATATGAACTTTCTTTCTTTGCTTTCTCTCCTCTTAAACAAATAATAACAAGCAAGTTATCCTTCCCTCCAAATAAGCCATTGGGCTAATTAATGTATAGTTACACATGACAGCTAAAGAAAATTCTGAGGCTTTGCTTTCTCCTTCATTTCTCTCTTTCCTCTTACATATAAAATTTTCAAATTGAAAGTTTTAACAGGCTTAAAAAAAACTAAGCACGTGGCCAATTTTCTCTTGATCTGCCTGATGCCCCGTATGTGTTCCTAAACCATTTATAAACTTGGTAGTGTATGTACATAGGATAAAAAGAACCTATGATAACATTTTATTTGAACCAGAACTCCAAAGCATTAATTAAAACTGACCACACCTGCTCTGAACTGCAATGTCAGAAATTTATGTGAACTTGTAAAGTTAAGGCTTTCTGACTTCCTGTAGGATTTATGTTTCCTTTAAATAAGCATTTCCTCTTTGTAATGCAATATATATTTTTTTAAGTTTATTTCAGTGACTAATTTGCTGGCATAAACAAATATGCTGTTCAGTTCCTTTATTGCTTGGTCTATACCCTTTCTACCCTCTGCTTGTCAAATATTTAATTTAAGGTTCAGGTGAAAATAAGCAGGTCCAACTATGAGGACTAGAATTTCTTATTTTAAATTTAACTTGTTAATGAGGTGATCTAAAAAGATATCCATGCATTCCAACTCCACACTTAATCTAAGAGCATTTTAATATAGTTATTCACAGATCTACTAACTGTTTGAAAATTATCAACAACCTTATAGTGGTTTAGCAGAAGCAGGAATTGTTTAATTACATGTGTGCGTGTGAAGTCCTTTCAGGTAAGACAAAGTTTTCCAGTCAAAGGAAGGCATTCTAATTTTGAGATTCAAATGCTAATGCCTTTAGAAAGAGAGGGTTCTGTGAGGCTAACATATACAAGTTGATTACCTTGGATAGGTTCATTCCCAAAACTGTGAGCGTCACCAAGCCAGCACAACAGACCAAAGCACTGGAGCTGGAGAGGCCAGAACTTGGTGGGATGGTTCCATCCACCAAGCAATTCATTCCAGTCAGGTTACTAAGACCAAAGTGTTCCTAAGAATATAAGGAAAAATAGCACTAGTAACTTTGGTGTCAGATTCAAGAAGCAGCAAAAAGTTCTTCTATTCTCCAGGGAGCAAAAGTCTATTAATGGACTTATGCTATTTCTAGAAACCACTTGTGCAATTCAGTTGAGTCTATGACATTTTATGTAAGGGCTCTTGGCCACAAGGTATGGTAATATAAAGATTACTTTTTACTTTGTTCAACAAAAAAGCTACTGATCCACCATAAGATCAAATACTGCCATTTGCGACAACATGGATAGATTTTGAGATTATCATGCGAAGTAAAATAAGCCAGACAGAAGAAGTTGAGAACCATATGATTTCATTTATATGTGAAATATGAAACTAAAAGCAACAAACATGACAAACGAACAGAGACTCATGGACATGGCCAGTAGTTGGTGGTTACCAGAGAGAAGTGGGGAGGGGGAGGTAGGTAAGGGAAAAGGGGGTCAAATATTTGGTGACGGAAGGAAACTTAACTTTGGGTGGTGAACACACAATGCTATATACATATGACATATCACTGAATTGTAGACTTGAAATCTATTTGATTTTATTAACCAATGTCACCCCAATAATTTTAATTTAATAAAGCTACTAATCCATTTCCTAAATGATCTTTTTCTTGAATATTAATTGATTTGAACAAACATGGAAAAAATTAAACAATTATAAATCAAATTCTCAAATAACGAGAAAAGAAAGACACATTTATTAGTGAAGCAGATTAAATCGCTATATAGCACATTCCCAAACGCTGTGATTGTAAAAGCCTAACACCAAGCAGTGACTGATTTCTATGGAGCGTCTTTCTTCAGAAGGTCCTCTGAGGAAAAAGTTGTTCTAAACTTTCTCAGTTCTGTTTTACTTATGGAAAAACCTAGGCACAGAAAAATTAAGAAACTTTCCTAAGATCATATGTAGGGAGCTGGGAGTAGGACCCAGGTCTCTGATTTCTGGCTGAGAACTTCTCTACTACAGTCAGAAACCTGGGCCAGCATACTGTCACTGTAATTTAATGTAAGTCAGCTATATGAAGAAATCCAGATTTTTACAGATACAAACTAGCCATATGGCAGCTTTCAAGACAGCCAAATTAGAATTCAGCCACGAACAAGAATGTAGGCTGTAAGTGAAGCAGGGGTACTCTATTTCTCCAAATAGGAAAGCCCAAAGAAATATTCAGACTCTAAAGATGGAAAGCTTTAGGATACTTAGATAAATATCTAGGATGACATTTAGGATGATATCATAATATATAACCTTTGTGGTTTAAGATTAAAAATATATTCAAGGCCACCTCCTCCTCAAGAAAAGCACCATCGTGTTTGCAAATTACTCAAACAGCTCAAGACCAAAGTAAAAATTACTATTATATTACATAATTATGCATTTCATCATACATATTATTTTAGGGAGAAATTTCAATAAACTAGTTAGAATAACCAAAGTTAACAACAAAGCTCTGCAAATAAAAGACTAGGGGTTTTTTCCTTAACTTTTTTGTTCTTTTCCCCTAAACTGGTAAAACTCATGCACCACAAAAGAAGAGATTCAGTTGGATGTACTTCTTGATTTCAAGTCATCTAAAAATTTCCTTTCCAGAAATACAAACAAATTATAAACTGAACCACTGTTGTTGCCAGTGCCCTTTCATACAGAACATCAAGACAGCTTGTTTTAAAAAAAAATCCTTGGAGAATGCTATATATTTAACCATAAACTGATCCACAGGGTGTCTTGAATGTGAATCATACTTACAAACTTATCATACAATGTTTAAATTAAAATGTACGACAGACTCAAAAACACAAATGGGTTTTGCCAAATTCTGTAATAGCTCTATCCCAAAAGGATAACATGTTCAATTTAATATAAACAGATTATACTCTGGAACTTTCTAGTATTTGAATTTGAAGGTTTTTAAACAAGCTAACATTTAAATTACTTTTCTGCCAAAAATTCATTGTACAAACCTGCTTTTGCACATAAGTTGTCAAACCCAAAAGAAAGGTTTGAAATTCTCAAAAGCAACACAAAGCAATATATGTTATTTAGGTCACTTTACCCGTATACTACAAAAGGCATGTTGCTCTAAGGAAAATCAAATTGCATTTGCCAAGTAAATGCTTCCAAATACTGTAATTTCCACTAACGCATACGACAAGCCAAATGATTTGAAGATTTAAAACCTATCATAACTTTTTTGATAAGTTGTTACCATGTGTCTGGGAAGGGGAGGGGAGGGGAGGGAAGGGAAGGGAAGGGAAGGGAAGGGAAGGAAAGGGGTAGGAAGGGAAGGGGTGGGAAGGGTCCACACACTAGGGAAGGGAAGGGAAGGGAAGGGAAGGGAAGGGAAGGGAAGGGAAGGGAGCAGACCACCATAATTAGAGTACGAGACTACACATCAGAAATAAGTGTGATATATTTCTGTAACAGATATGCCACCAAGTCCTATAGGCTACTCATGACAAAGTTTTAGATAGGACCTCCAGGCAGTGAGGAACATAAGCTCTCTAAAACATGGATTTTAATAAACAAATAAAATTGATTTAGCAAATTAATTTTATTTTTGTCCTTCATACTTTCTTTAATTAAGAGAGAGAGGAAATATTCCATTTTCTTTTTCACCTACATGACATTAGAGATGTTCAAGATAATTATTCAGAGTTTCTAGGAAAATAGTTATTCTAATAAATTTCACTACATCTTTTTTTAACCCCATCTGAAGTAGTAATAACAATACTAGTTATCATTTATTGAATGCTTGCTATGCATCAAACATTGTATAATCCTTGCAACAACTCTTTGTTGGGATAGCAGTGACATTATTTTATAGATAACAAACCTGAGACTTAAGAGGTTAAATTAATACAGCTGGCTAGAGGCCCAGATTCAAACCCTGGGCTATTTAATTATAAATCCTGTTACAGTACATACCTCTATATCCCCAAATATAAATAATATTAATAGAATGTAGCCTTCAAAAGAATATCTGAAAAATAGTTTTTTTTAAAACCAGAAAGATGTTTGTTGGATGCACCTGACTTATGAACAGCCACTGCTGCCCCTTGTGAACACTGCCCAGAAAATGTCATATCTACCTCATCCCCTAAAATACATAAATTAGCAAAATAGAACAGAAACATCAGTTAGTATTGAAAGGAGACAAAAGTTATAGAGTAAATAAAATATATCTTGATATAACAATCTCAAATGCTACAACAATTTACCTGAATTCCTTTAAATCCACATAGGAAATAGTTGTGCCACAGAGGCTTGGTTTTGTCAATCTGAATGTTATTAGCACTAGTACTGAAATCTCTGCAAAGGCAAAAAGACACTGTTAATTCTTGTGCTGCAAAATTGATGGCTAGCTGCTGCCATCTTGTGCCAAGACAGTGATACTGAAATCTCATCTTCCATTTACTTTCAATATACATACTTCACATTCTACCCCAAAACAACAAACATTTCCAACTATTAGAGGTTAAAAGACATTGTAGTTACCTTAATAACTAAATTACTTCCAACTGACCCTTTTTATTTCCTGAAATGAAGAGAAATCAATATATTTTAGCACAATCTATATCGTTATTTATTTCATGATGATCCTTGTTAAGCTGGTGTAACCCACATAAATGCTTATCCTTTGGACCTGCTGTTTGGCATACCTCTAACTGGAACAAAAGTACTCAAAGCCTTCTTTCCCCTCACTTTCTGCCACCCATCCAATTTTACTATCTGCACAGTTTAAGGGGGAAAAGGAACAAACAAAACAGTAATTCTAATGGATCATAACTCATTGAATAAAATAAGAATCCACGACTCTACTGATATAAATTAAGAAATGAATAAACACCTAAATGAATTTTATACTTCCTGAAAGTAAAATGCCAATTAATAGATAGATGTAGAAGAAATAATAGAAACCAAAAAATCACTATTTGGCAAGTTCCACAATAACTGTTTGGGAAAGAATCATCAATAGATGCTAAAGTTACTGAGTAAAATTTTTTTTGTACGTAAAAGATATTTATATACAAAGTATTTACCCACCAGATACTTATTGTAAAGAGAAAAAAAAACTATAACTTTATGGTAAAGAAATCTGGCAGATATCACTTTAACCAAATGATCAAAACTAACATCTCTAGGAAAGGGACATCATGTGCCTCCTTGACACAATGCACTGAAGATACATCAGTTAATATGTGAGAATTATTTGTATTATTTTTGTGACTTATTTGTAAGTCAAAAATTATTTCAAAATGAAAAATAGGCTTCTAAATCAGCCAAAGCACAAAATATGTGAAATGGAGGGGTGGGGGTAAAATCAATTAAAAACGAGATAATAAGCAACATTCCCCATATTGACCGAGTGCTCTTCATATAATTTACTGAATACCTGCTATGTGCCAGTCACTGTAGTAAGTGCCTTGCATGCATTATCTTTACTTAATGACATGGATACATCAACTCTTAAGAAAATATTTAATGACCACTTAAGTGTGCAAGAAATATAAAGGTAAAAGGCAAAGGGCTTATCTTTTACGCATTTGTAATCTATCTGAGACAACATGAACAAGTCACAATCACACACCACTATCATGTGGTGTGTGAAATACGGGGTGGGGTATGAGGCCAAGAGGGCATAATTTCTATAGGTTAGAGAGAGGAGGCTGTCCTCGAGGCTCAGAGAGGTTTAGTGACTCCAAGGACACAGTCTGACTCCACAAGCACTTTATTAATCACCCACAGAAGTTAAAATATATTGGGAGAATGACGTCAGCATCATTGTGAGTGAGATGCTCCCTTTGTCTCTCTCCTTCAACCTATAACTAGTGGGACATCAATAACTCAACAAAGATTCCTCTGCTCAACACACTAGGATGCCTGAGAGAGCCACACATCTGAAGGTGGATTGGCACGGAAGAGGGAAGCAGAACTGGGGTAAGAGCACGGATGGTGCTCCTCACCCTGACTCCTCAGCAGCGGAGTCCACAGCCCCAGCAAGCACAGAAGCAGCGAGGGAAGAAAAAAGACAGCAGTGGCATTGGCACCCCGCTTCGGTTCCCTGCCCTGGCTGCAATGGTGCCGTATCACTAGAAAACTCAGTAGCAGCAGAAGAGGCAGTGCATATGATTCTGGCCTTCTGGTCACAGCAACATAAACAGCCACAGAGAACCAAACGGCAGTGGCAGCAGGGCACTCGACCCCAGCTACCCCTCTAAGCTGTGCTATCTCTCCCACCAACATGGCATTGCTGAGACCCAGACCACCTGGTAAGCACTGGGGACACGTTATCTCAGCAGCAACACTCATGACCAGAGCAAAACCAGCACTAAAGCAACACCAGCAGCAGCAAGGCACCAGTGACCCCAGAGGCACAAGCAGCAATGAACAGGGCACCTGTGACACCTCTGGCAGAGGCAGTGCAAGAGGGAAAATGCTGGCTCTCAAATATAGTCAACTCAGGTAAAAGAAACAAAAAACTTGTGCTATAGCACCACCTACTGGAGGAAAAAGACCTCTAATTACTAACCTGGTGACTGGTTAAAATTAAAGTAAATAAAGGTGTACCTAAATAAAAAAATACGTCGCTACTTCAAATGTATCAACAGAGGAACAACCCCATCAAGTGCTATGAATAATCATTGTAACAGAGTATCCCAAAACGAAAATGACAGTTTTATTCCTGAGCTCCTTGAATTCCCTGAGTTTTCTTGTATCTCCTTGAGTTTCTTCATGCCAGCTATTCTGAACTTTCTATTGTTTAGATCACAATCTTCTGTGACTTTGAGTTTGGTTTCTAAAAAAGATGCTTGGTATGATTTAATTTTCTTAAATTTACTGAGACTTGTTTCATATCCCAACACATGGTCTATCTTTGAGAATGTTCCACGTGCACTTGAGAAGAATGTGTGTATTCTGTTGCTTTTGAAAGAAATGTTCTGTATATATCTATTAAGTACATGACATTTAATGTATCATTTAAGGCCAATATTTCCTTATTGACTTTATGTCTGGATGATCTACCCCATGGTGTAAGTGGGGTGTTAAAGTCTCCTACTATTATTGTGGTGCTGTCAATTTCTCCCTTTAGGTCTGTTAACAATTGATTTATATATTTTGGTGCTCTAAAGTTGGGTGTATATATCCTTTAAAAATGTTGTTTTCTCGATGGATTGTCCCTTTTTTGTTACATAATGTCTATCTTTGTCTCTTTTTACCTTTTTCAGCTTGAAGTCTATTTTATCTAAGTATGACTACACTGCTTTCCTTTGGAAGCCATTTGCTTGGAGTATCATCTTCCATCCGTGTCTTGACTCTCTGCTTATACTTTTCCTAAGGTTCAAAAACGGGCACTCATTTTCCCACCAACCCTTGTTCCTGAATTACATCACCCATGTGTTTTCTTTACTCTTACATCCTTGTAGAATGCTAAGAAAAAGTCCTTAAAATGAGCAGACATGACTCACTACATTGATATTTTCCGCTTACACATTTTATTCATTCATTCACCTGTTCTTCGAACAAATATTTGCCCATTGTCTACCCTGTCTGTGTCAGGCACTGGGCTAGACCATTTACAAGAACAATATCAAAAAATAATACTTGGAGGCTTCGAGTAAAGACAGTAGGGTAGTTAAACGCTGTGACCACATCAAAATTACAACTAAACTACAGAACAATCATCATTGAGAATTGCCTGAAATCTAGCTGAACAGAAGTCCTATAACTAGGGATATAGAGAAGAAGCCACATCAAGGCTGGTAGGAGGGGCTGAGACTCAAATGATCTGGTCCCACACTCACATGTGGTGGTTAAAATTTAGGAGGGGTATTTTAGCTGTGGAGGTATCCCCGCAAGGAGCAAGGGGTCTCAGCCACACACCAGGCTCCCCAGCCCAGGGTTCCAGTGCTGGGAAGAGAAGTCTCTACAAATTCTGGCTGTGAAAACCAGCAGATATTGTGGCTGAGTGAGACAGAGAGTGGCAGGAGTCTCAGGCATTCCTCTTAAAGGGCCCATGCATGAACTTACTCACTGACGAACTCACTCACTGAAGAACTCACTAACTCACTAACTCTGAGCTCCAATGCTGAGGCAGCAGCTCGAAAGGTGCCAGGAACATCTGAGGAGAAACTGAATTGTCTGGCTTCAGAGTGAGGGCTGAAGGGACAGATTTCTCCCAGACAGAAGCACTGGCAGAAGCCATTGTTCTTTTGTTGAACCCTCTCCCAACCCAGCCTGAATGCACATGTGAGTGCCATATATGAGTCTCCATCAACCTGGCTAATACTGTTCGCCCTACTCTGGTGATTCCCTGAGACCCTGTCCCACCCAGCTTATGGGCTCACCCAAGCTGCTTCCAGTGGCTCTTCCATACAAATGGCCTGTATTGCCTTATGCTGTGGACTTTTCTAAAACCTATCAAAGGTTCACAACCTCTAAAATAGCATCTGCCCTCAGCACACCCTGTACCCTTGCTAAGCAGCCCCAAGCCCAACACTAACAGCAGCTGGCCTCAGTTCACAGCTTAGCCTCTCCCAGTCACCTCCAAGCCCAGCACAAGTGGCAACCATCTGCAGATCTCTTCGTAGCTATACCAGGTGGCCCCGGGGATGGCATAGGTGTGGCTGAATTTGGCCTGCAACAGAGCCTCTCACAAGAAGTCCCAGAACCAATACACCCAGTGTCCATCTTCAGATCACACCAGAGCACCACCCAACCACCTCCACAAACCACATACCCAAAAGGCAGACTCAGCAGGCATCAGAGCCCCACTAAAGTAAATCCTGGTCCTTAGTGTCAGCCCCTGAACAACAGCTCCTTCATTGTAGTCACTGCCAGTCCTCACAACTGATCAGCCTGAAGGTCAATCCCTCCCACTGACATGCCAACAGCAATCAAGACTCAACTACAGTAGGAGGGCACACACAACCCACACAAGGGACAGACCTGGAGCACCCAGCTCAGGTGACCAGGGAGACTGTGCCACTGGGCCCCACAGGATACTTACTATACAAGGCCATTCTACAAAGTCTAGGAGACTTAGCCCCTCCACATAATACATAGAAACAAACACATGGGGAAAAAAACATAGGGAGGCAGCCAAAATGAGGAGACAAAAAAACATGTCTCAAATGAAAGAATAGGACAAAGCTCCAGAAAAGGAAATAAACAAAATGGAGACAAGCAATCTACCAGATGCAAAGTTTGAAACACTGGTCATAAGGATGCTCGATGATCTCAGGGGGAACTTTAACAAAAAGATAGAAAACGTAAAAAAGAACCAGTAAGCAGAGAAGAATACAATTACTGAAATGAAAAATACATTACAGGGAATCAACACCAGATTAGATGAAGCAGAGGATCAAATCAGTGATTTGGAGAATAAAGTAGCAAAAAATACCCAATCAGAACAGAAAAAAATTCCAAAAATATTAGGATAGTTTAAGAGACCTCTGGGACAACATTCGCATCATAAGGGTACCAGAAGAAGAGAGAGAGCAAAGAATTGATAAACCTATTTCAAGAAATAATGATGGAAAATGACCCTAATCTGGCAAAGGAAATAAACATACAAGTCAAGGAAGTGCAGAGAGCTCCAAACAAGATGAACTCAAACAGGCCCCACACCAAGACACCTTATAATTAAATGCCAAAGGTTAAAGACTAAGAAAGAATCTTAAAAGCAGAAGAGAAAAGCAATTAGTTATCTACAAGGGAGCTCCCATAAGCCTGTCAGTTGGTTTCTTAACAGAAACTTTGCAGGCCAGAAGGGACTGGCACAAAACACTCAAAGTGATGAAAAGCAAGGACCTACAACCAAGATTACTCTAACCACCAAAGCTATCATTTAGAATTGAAGGAGAGCTAAAGAGCTCCCCAAACAAGAAAAAGCTAAAGAAGTTCATCACCAACAAACCAGCATTACAAAAAAGTTAAAGGGACTTTTTTAAGGAAAAAAAAAAAAAGTCAAAGATATGAATAATAAAATGTCAATAATTACATATCTATCAACAATTACTTTAAGTATAAATGGAATAAATGTTCCAGTTAAAAGACAGGGTGGCTGAATAGATAAGAAAACAATGCTGCCTATGAGAGATTCACTTCAGATTGAAAGACACACAAAACTGAGAAGTCCAGGTTTGGAAAAGGATATTTCATGTAAATGGAAATGAAAAAAAAAAAGCTGGGTTAGCAATACTTATACCACACAAAACAGACTTTAAAACAAAAGATGTAACAAAAGATAGAGAAGGACCCAGTGGCACTTGGCAACTGCCACTGAGCAGATGATTCTTTTGTGCACCTCTGTCCACTTCCTCTGCAACCATGACTGACAAACCCAACGTAACTGAGATTGAGAAATTCAATAAGTTGAAATTGAATACACCAGAAATGCAAGAGAAAAATTCACTGCCTTCAAAAGAAACAATCGAACAGGAGAAGGAAGCAGGCAAATCGTAATGAGGCATATACCAAAAATATATACTGTACATTCCTCAAGCATTGCTTTCTTATTTTACTTCTTTTAGCTATTTAACTTTGTAAGATGCAAAGAAACTGGATCAAGTTTAACTGACTGCAGCCCCTTTTCACATCAAAGAATTGCTGACAACAAAGGCCCTACCTGCCTCTCTTATCTGCCTGTCTGGCTTGCAGGGAAGGAAAAGAACTTGCATGTTGTTGAAGGCAGAATCTGGATGAGAAGACAGTGAAATCTAGAGTAAAAACCAAGCTGGTCCAAGGTTTCTTGCAGACTGTAAAATGCAGTTTAATCAAAGTGCCATTTTTTTTTTTATTCAAACGATTTTAATTATTGGAATGCATACTTTTTTAAAATACACAAATAAAAAGTTTTAAAACCTGAAGAAAAAAAATGAAGGTCCCAGTAATTCCACTTCTGGGTGTTTATCCCAAGAAACCTAAAACACTAATTCAAAAAGACATGTGCATCCACACGTTCACTGCAGCATTATCTACAATAGGCAAGATATGGAAACAACCTAAGTGTCCATCAACAGATGAATGGATAAAGAAGAAGTGATACATATATACAATGGAATATTACTCAGCCAAAAAAAATGAATGAAATTTTGCCTGCTGCAGCAACATGGATGGACTTAGAGGGTATTATGCTAAGTGAAATGAGTCAGAAAGAGAAAGACAAATGCCATGTGAATTCACTTACACGTGGAATACATTTATATATATATAAAATAAACGAACAAAACAGATACAGAGAACATTTTGATGGTTGCCAGATGGGAGGAGGGTTGGAGTGATGGAGGAAAAGGGGACAAGGATTACAAATTGGTAGTTACAAAATAGTCATGAGGATGTAAAGCACAGCATAGGGAATACAGTCAACAATATTGTGATAACTATGCATCATGTCAGATGGATACTAGATTTATCAGGGTGATCACTTTGTAAGTTATATAAAGTCTAATCACTATGTTGTACACCTGAAACTGATATAATATTATATGTCAACTGCAATTGAAAAATACAAATTATTTTAAAAAATAAACACTTAGAAAAAAAAATTTGACAAAATATGTACAAAACATGTATCTTAAAAAAAACAACAAAATATTTCTGAGAGAAATTGAAGAAGACCTAAATAAATAGAGAGATATACCATGTTCATAAATTGGAAGAGTAAATACTGTGAAGATGTCAATTTTCCCCAAATTGATTTATATATTCAGTGCAACACTAATAAAAATCTCAGCATGCTTTTTCATACAAATTGAATAGCTGATTCTAAAATTAATGAGAAAATGCAAAAGATCTAGAATAGCCAAAGCAAATTTTAAGAAGATAAACAATATTAGAAGACATATACTACCTGAGTCCAGGACTTCTTATAAAGCTGCAGTTTTCAGATAGTGCATTATTGACATAAAGATAGACAAATACATCAATGAAACAGAATAGAGTCCAGAAATAATTCTGTACCTATATTAATAATTGCTTTTCAATCTAAGGTGTTGAGATAATTCAATGAGAAAAATAATCTTTCCAACAAATGGTGAGAAACAATTGGATAGCCATATGCAAAAAAAAATAAACATAAACCTCGGCCCTGATCTCATGCCACATACAAAAATTGACTCAAAATTCATCATAGACCTAAATGTAAAAACTAAAACTATTAAACTTCTGGAAGAAAACATAGGGAAAAATTTAATGGCCGGGGGTTTGACAAAGGTTTCTTAAATAGAGTCAAAAACTATATACTGTGAATGAAAAGAATCAATAAGTAGGACTTGATCAAAAACAAAAAGTATTCTTCTTCAAAAGACATAGTAAAGAAAATAAAAATTCAAGCCACAGACTGGATGAAATATTTTGTAAAGCATATATCTAACAAAGGACTTGTATCCATAATATATAAGAAACTCTCACATGTCAGTAAAAGATGAAAAACCTACTTGAAAATGGGCAAAAGATTTAGCCAGACCTTTCAACAAAGAAGATACATAGATAACAAATATATGAGAAAATGTTCAACATCATTAGTTAGACAAATTAAAATTAAAAAGCACAGTTTGCTACAACTACACATTTATGAGAATGGCTACCATTTAAAAAGACAAGTTAGCAAAGATGTGGATCAGCTGGAACTCTCACAAATTGATGGTGGGAATGCAAATTCCAAAGTGGTACAACCACTTTGGAAAACAGGCAAATTCCTGAAAAAGTAAACCCAAACAGTCCACTCTTAGGTATTTAACCAAGGAAAATGAAACATATATCCACATACAGATTCACAAATATTCTTAGTGGCATTATTCGTTAATAGCCAAAAACTGGAAATGATCTAACTGCCCATCGGTGGTGAATAGATAAATAAATTATGGTATATCCATGCCATGAATGCTACACAACATGTAAGGAACTCTTGGAGGGATGCTGCATACTTCTTAAGGGTCCTAATGGAATAAAGCAGAGGTACCCGCCTTAATAATTCACCTCTGCTTCCCTAACCATGCTCTTTCACTACTGCTCCCCTGGGATCATTTCTCAAATACTCTACCTTCAACCAAGTCTGTCTCAGGCTCTGCTTTTATGAAAAAAAGGAAATAAAATGAAACTGAAACCACATGTACATCATGGTGGGAATGGTTAAGTGAATTTGAGTAAATCAGTGTGAAAAATTATTATGCATTCAGTTTTAAATGTTTACAATGACACAAAATTGCATTTGAGATAAAGGTTTTCTTTAAAAGGTTCGAAATGTACATAAGATATAGTCTTAATTATGCAAAATAAATAGAAAATAAAAAGGATCTTATACAATAAGTTCCATTTAAAAGTAAGGAATTTCTATACCTTATATAACCTGGTTTATAGTGTCTTATCAAAAGCACTCATAAAATATTTGCAGAATAAACAAACATTATTGCAGGCAAAATGTCCAATAAACAACAGTCCAAAAATATAATGTGCCAATTATGTGCCGAAATCATTTTTTTAATTATTTTTTTAATACATCATAATATACTATAAGCAAATAGGGCTTATCCCAGGAATGAAAAGACAGTTCAATAGAAAATGCATCAATGTAAATTATGACATTTTTTTAAAACCAATCTTCAAGACTGAGAAGACATTTCATAAAACTCAATACCCACTAATGATTTTTTTAATCTTAGCAAACTAAGAATTTTAAAAAAACAACAAAAAAGGAAGTCCTTAACTTAATAAAGCATACATACTAGAAATCTACATTTATTATGTACCAGACTGTGTTTGACAGCACTGAAGAAGAGAGGCAGCTACAGTATCTGAACTCATAGAACTTATAATCTACTGGGAGAGGAGGGGAGATACTGGCTAGTAAGCAGATGATAATAATACAGTCTGGTAAAATACTATGACAAGAGAATTAGCTAGCCCTGACTTTGCTGGAAATAGTTGCCGCAATAGACATAGTTTTTGGGCAAGGACATAGTTTTTTTCATCTTTCTATAAAGATAAAACAATGTCAGACACATGGTAAGTGTTCCTAAAATGTTTCTTAAATGAGTGAGCAAATGAACAAAATAAACAAATATTAAATAGTAGCCTTAGATTGTTTTGGAAGTCAGATACAACATTTTAATAAATTAAATCATTCCTAAAAAGGAAAAAAAATATTTATTTTAAATTTGATGTCTCCTAAAGAATTCATGTGGGTACAAATATAAACACACACACACACACACACACACACACACACACACACACACACACAGTAGCAATCCTAAATACTCACGGGTACAAGGGATTTGTATTGGCCAGTTGAAGAGTGTGTGTTTTCACAGGTTCCACAGCTATTAACATATCTTGTTCCACAGCCATAGGAAGAACAGAATATCCACAGTAATCTATATGTTCTCCTAGAAAAAAGAGAAAGCATTTTTTATCACTGATAGTATATGAAAGAGAAACTCCAGTTGATACACAGAAAAAGCTTGACCAACAGCCAGGTTTTAACAAAAAGTAAAAATACTATGGGCAGAAAGTGATTCAGTTTTCTTTTTCTCCCAGACATCTGAGCCAGGAAATTCTGTTAGCATAAATATATGTTATTAGTTTCTGTTAATGTTTAGAGTTCTTTAAAACTTCACTAGTTTTTTTCCCATTTTCTCATTCATAATGATCATGTTTATGTTATGTGACTACTTATGTGGAATATCAAAAAAAGCATTATCTCCTTTCTCTATTGATTTTTGTATTAATTTTTAATATGTGAACAATTGAAGCCTTTAGTGCACTCTCCCTTATATTAACATTATGTGAGTCCCACTCTCTTCCTCCCTTGAGAATGAGCTTACTAAAGGTGAGGACCTTTGCTTTATTTTTTGTGGACTAACCAAATACCTAACAAATTACACTGGTACTAGTACATTGTGTTGAATGTGCTACACGTAGCTAGGATAAAGAAAAGCTAGAAGAAGAATATTTAATCTGTACTACTTTATATGTAATAAGCAAATATAGGAAAGAAACTATTCTTTCTAATTCTTCTATGAAATACCAAGAGGAATTTTTTTTCTATTATACCATAATGTCTTCTCCAAATTATCATTTAAACTCAAGGTTGTTATTCATAACATTTAAATACAAAATAACAATTCAAGAAAGATGGGTTAAGCAAGCTCATTTATATTCACCAAAAACAGATTCTTATATCTGATTGTTCCTATGGCAGACATTGATCAGTTAAGATCAAAATGAATGGAAGGCAATTAAACTGCATAATTATATTTTAAAATAAATATTATTCTACATATTATTACAGGTAGCAAGTCTTGTTTCTACACTGACATGTCCTTTGAAATAACAAAATAAAAAGCAATAATAATAATAAAGGGTTTTTTTCTGGATTGACAATGACAAATGAAGAAATGGTTCCAAAGTTGTCTTTCTCCCCAATTTTCTTCAAGAAGACAATATTACACAAAACAGCGGTTCACAAGTAGAAAACATATTTAAACAAGGGGAAATCTAGGAGGGCACCAGATTCTGTTGGGAAGGCTGCAGTGTGGATGACAGCCTCCTGACATTCCTCCCTTTGTCAAAACTGATGGAAATACCCAAGTGAGGGGCATGAAGGGAACAGGAACTGCTGGCAAGTAAGGATAACAAGATGATTACATTCTGCATATTTAACGAAAATACAATAATGCTTTTTAATAAACACTGAAATTAATTTCATCCCAAGCACTAACTAAGCTAACTACATTGGAACATAATACCTCGCATTTTAAATCAGAAAACAGTCAATAAATTTACTAGAATAAGAATTACTTGTCAAGAAAATCCTTAATTTGGAAACCTTACACCCAAAACTAAGCAAAACTTGGCTCCCTTCTGAGGATATGGCTTCTTTGCAGTTCTCTCAGCAACAGCAAGGAGCTGTTGATGTTCTCCTCCCACTCTGCCATTTCCAGGCCTTTTTTCTGTCCCCCTGTTCTTCACGGCTCATGCCACATTCTCTCCTCATCACTTTCATCTAAGGCTCTTAGATACTCTGTTCTTCACTGAAGACTTTATCATCTCATTTTAGCCCTCTCCATCCCAGTCCTGCAATAACCTGAACAACATCCAGGTAAACAACCTAGTCTTAGGTCCCAGCTTCCTAATCCCTTGACCTCAAAAAAACACGACTTCCCCTCTACTCTACTTACTTCCATGGCATTGACAAATCCAGCAATGGCCACAGACCTTATCACCTGGAACTTTTCTACCTATGAAATTTTAGTTTCAAATATCAAACTTCGCATCCTGCCATTTCTATTACAGTTTATCTCACTTTCCTGTTTTCCAGACTCAGTTCTTTGCCCATCCCACTCCCACCCGACAAGCTTCCTACTATCTCTTTCTTTTTCTACCCAGCATAGATTCCAGAGTTCATTACTTTACCTGCTCTCCTGCCAATATCATCAACTTCCTAATGCCTTGTCATTCTTCTGTTACCTCTATCCAAAACAAAACCCCAAACTTAGATCAAACACAGGCAACCTAGATTAGCTGAGACAGAAAAAAATGAAAACTTTGCAGACTGGCATTGCTACAATTCTATGGTCTCCAGCTCGAACCAGATCACAAAGCTACCTGGCAAAGCTTTTGTGGTTCTAGTCTTCTCCCTCTCCCATTCTTCACAAGGCTATTTCAAATTTTGTGCCTTCTTAAACTTCCAATCCTTCCAACTCTCTTCTACAAGAACTCCCTCAACTTTCTATTCAAAAATTATATATTTACCTACATCAAACTACATCCTTTTCTTTCTTGCCTTCTGTTAAAAGAGTCAAAGTGGCCCTCTTCCTAAGCTCTAGATACCAGCCCGCTTGTCTTCTTGGGAATTCTGCTCCATTAGTTTCTCCCTTCTCAGATGTCTTCAATCTCTCTCGCGCGCCACTGGGTTTACTCCGTTTTCCCTCCTTCTCATTTAACCTTACTCAAATATCTCATATTTTTAAAATTCTCTTTATTTGCTTCAAAATAAAATAAGATCGCCTGAGTTGATAATAATTGAAGCTGGATGTTGGGTACATAAGATTTCATTATATTACTCCAACTACTTTTTTGGATGTTCACATTTTCCATTATAAAAAGTTTTCATTTTAATCCTCCTTTGACTCCTGGATTTTTCTCAGTTCCCCATCTCATCTTCTCTCAATAAAACATACTCATTCTTCAGGTCACCACACTATTAAAAGCAAAAATACTGGTTTCCTAGTATTCCTCTAATCCAATGAATAAATAAATGTAAAACCACCAAAATTACTCAATTTAACCTGCAGCACACAAAAATATTTTCATCTCTCATGAAACAATATTAATATTCAGATTCCAACAAATTTATAATTTTTTTAAATGAATGGGCAAAATTAACATTAATAACATAAACTGGGAAAGGTGAAAGTATAATGTGTTCCTTATGCAAAAGTTTGCCTTGCTGTAGCAGAAATATGTAAAATATTCTATTTTTTCAGTTCTCCTGGAAAATATTAAGAAAATAATGCATTAACAAAAATTTGTATTTTACCAAAGGACGAAAGAATTAAGAGAAGGAACTTTCGAAATACCTATTATGTTGACTCTTCCTGGTGCTCGAACATAAAACTTGGGAATGGATCCAAACTTAGAGTTAAATGTCTCTTTTAGCTTTAGCAATCTGGAAACAGAGAAGTAAACACCCAATAAATAAACAATACTGTAACCCCTTAAGTGACACAAGAGTATAGCTAAGCACAGAGAAGATTTAAAAAGTTAAATAAACTCATAAAATTTTTCTGTAGGTTTGGAAGTTCTTTCATGGACATAAATCTGGCACATCTTGCTGTGCTAGAAAGTAAGGAAGGGCTGAAACAATGACAGAAACATGTCAGAAGGACACAGAGACCCACATAAGGAGGTTCTTACTGCCCAAATCTGAAATAATCTGAGCATCAAAATAGTAAAAAGGTAACATACTATAACCCATAAAGTAAAGTAAAAATCAATAAATCCACACTGACACAAATAAATGGAAAAGGAAAAACACTTCCTTACACTGGAATGACAAATAATAAATATAAAAATATATTTAAAAAAACAAAAAAGTCACCATTTGGTGACCATTATAATAATAATTGACTCAAGCAAGGATCATCAATGTATGCTAAAACCAGTAAATTAAAGTTTGACATGAAACAGAATATTAACATCTTCTTAAAATATTTCACCAAAAGATACCTACTAATTACAGAAGAAATAATAGTAACTTTACAGTGGGAAAACCAGGTAGTGTCTCCTTAACCAAGTGATTCAAGTTAATAGCATTGGTAATGGGACAAATAGATACCATGTGCCTCCTGATATGATGTACTGAGAAAATAAAATTACTTTTTTGTAGTTTTCCTACCAAAAATAAAGTGAGTCTAATCACGAAGAAATACTTAGATAAACTATTAGAGGAGAAAATTTTTTAAAGTATAATCATGACTCATACAGACATAAACATGTCTTAAAGATTTTATCTCATTAAAAAAAGATTTTATCTCATTAATTAATGACAAAACCATAATATAATCATTTAGAAGAATCCAAAGTACTCCTCATATATAGTCAAATAAGGAAATTTGAAATGAACTCATAAATAGACAGAAAAACTGGTTAATAGCAAGCTGCAACAATCAAATGTATTCCACCAAACACAATTTGCAATATCTATGGACAAGAATCATTTGCATTGCTATCAGTTTTCTATGACATAAAGAGCTGTGAAAGAGCTTGAATATAAGGCTCAGAGCCATATAGAAATCAGATAATCTGGATGATAGGTATGTCAAGCAACTTCTGGTTCTCGTTGGAGATACCCAGAAAGATTACTTTTGGACCATTTCAACGTTTTCCACAATTTTTCCTGCAACCCAAATTGAGGGATATTCTATAAAATAACTGATCATGAAATACAAAGACTGAGGAACTGCCTCCCACCAAAAAATACAAGTTTTTAAAAACAACTAAAAGCAATATGTGTCCTAGATAGAACCCTGACCAAGAAAAAAATATTACTATTATTAATATTTTTTGCTATAAAAGACATTAGTGGGATAATTGGTGCACTTGAGTTCTGCCAATTAGATAATATTCTATTAATATTAATTTCCTGATTTTGATCATTGTGTTCTGATTATGTTAGAAAATGTCCTTTTTTCTGGGAAACACACTCCTGTATTTAAAGTTAAAGAGGTATCATGTCTTCATGTCTTCAACCTAAATCTTGAACTGTTTAGGAAAAAATTTCTGAGAGAGAGAGAACAATAAAGTAATTACAAAAAATGTTAACATTTGGGGAATCTGGGAGAAGAGCATACAGTAATTTTTCTGTAAGTCTGAACTTACAGAAAACTTTTCTGTAAGTCTGAAATTATTTTAAAATAAAAAGTTTTTTTAAAAAATGTGCTGATGCTTTACTAAGTACTCTATTTCAAAAGGAGATTAATAATAGTCCTTGGTCTCTAGGAATATAAAAGTCTGGCAAAAGAGAAAGATAGTGAGCTAAAAAGCACAATACAGAGTGACAATAGAGTAATAAGCCAGTCTTCTTGGAGTACAGGGAAAAGCTATTTAGCTCCTACTATGGGAGAATGTGTATGCTAAGATAAATCTAGAAGGGGAAGAAAAAGTTAGAGAAGGCTTCTCCAAGAGGCAATCTCTTAAAATGAATTGTAAAGAATGATGTCAGACAAGTGGGATGGGGTGACACATTCTAGGTAAATGAAATGAAAAGGCCCAGCATGCTGCATTCAGAAAATTATAATTAGGGTTTCAAATACATCAAAAGAGAAAAATAGGAAAGGAGGCTAGTGGTAATCAAGTCCCAGATCTTAAAGGCCTTTATATGCCAAGTTGAAGAATCTGGCTTTTAACACATAGCCAAGGGATGTGAACAAATATTTAAAGATAGAGTGATATTATCAGTTTCCCTCTTGCAAAAGTTTCCTGGGAAGTGTGTGGAAAATGGGTCATAGGAGGACAAGGCAGAAAAAAAAAAAAAATCCAATAGGAAGCCATTGTAGTTAACCTAGAAAGAAATCCTGAGGGTACATTAGTGGTGGAGATAGAGGAGGGTAAAAATTAAATTAAGAAAGTCGAATCCACAGGAATTGGTGACCAATTAGATGTGGGCAAGAGGGAGAAGTTTTCTGGCTTATATAACTCCACTAGCTACAATAGGGGCTAATGTTATTTCTGCTTATGAAAATCGTACATAGAAATAAATTCAAGTTCTGCTAACTTGAATCATTGTTAATTTGCTTTTATAAGCACTGCAAACACATACCAAAGAAAAAAGATGAAATACTAACAGCAATGTTAGAATCAGTCTCTTAAAATATTTTAACAAAATGATTTTGAGTTATTAAATTTTGTGTTATTTTCCCAGACTACCTCAGGAAGACAGCGGACCATGCCTTACTGTAACTGCTCCTTCACAACAGGCTTACCATACAACATTCCTTGCCTTTGAAATTCAAATGTGCAGAGGCTATGAAAAAAAAACAAGGAAAGCACTTTTTCTAAGAATAGAAAGAACTGATGTGTACAGTGTTTTTCTAAACTTCATACCTAATCCTATAATAATGAAGCAGTTTTGCTGTAATTGGGGGAGTAGCTGTATTTTTATCACTCTCAGCTAGTCACCAGCCAGACTCCATCTCTTAAAATGTAGTCACTTAAAGTATGCCCTCAAAAAACAGTACAATGAGCAGTTTTAATATGAAAATAAGAGCTCCTACAAAGATTACATTGTTAAAGGCAGAATTGGCCAAAATATCATCACATAAATTGCTGAATCTGGTGCTGTGAATGATCTTTTGACGTAAGATTTTTTTAACAGCAATTTTAGTAACAGAACTTGAGAAACAAAATTATGACTGTAGTGAATGAAATTGATTTTACCATAAGGACTCATTCTCAGAGGACCCTAGGGTGACCAAATGGCTAACTACAGAGAAGAATAAATTAAAATTTCAGGAGACAAAACATGTATCTTTAGTTTGTCATTCTGACCTGAGACAAGTCTTCTATCCTATTTGTGCCTCTGTTTTCTCATTAATATCAGGATAATCGCTCATGGCATTACATAAAATATAAATTTTTAATACTAATTTAAGAATAATTTGTTGTGAATATGTGTGTTTATGGTGAAGAGGATCAAAATGTGCCACTCCAAAATATGCCATTTGGCATGAGGATTATTTTGAGCGTAAGGCAATTAAGAAATAGCAGACACAGAAGGAGCTCTCTACCCTCTCTCTAGCCACCTAAAAGCTTGGCATAAATTTTTTCCCTTTCAGAAGCTGTCTATCCCCATACCAAGAGATGACTCTTATGACTGGAGACCTCACTGACTTGAGTCTACATAAACAAACCTTACTAAAATAATTCTTATTTTCCATTAGTTTCCCCCACACAGTCACCTTTCCCCAACTTACCATCCCTAGAAACCCAGACCCCTTCCCCTTTATCTAGTCACTTCTCACAATTTATCATCCTTTGTTAAAATGTTGCTCCCAGACCTAGCAACTTCTTTCAGTTTTCACTTCTTTTCTGTAAAGCCCATGTGCATGAGAAATAAACATTTTCTCCTGTTAATCTGTCTTTTATCAGTTTAATTCACAGGACCCACCTACGAAACTTAAGAGGATAGAGGAAAAGTTTTTCCTCCCTTATTATGGTAATTTATATAAGTTGTTCTATCTCTCACTTTCCTCAACTACAAATTGAGCATAATAATAGAAATAACTGCAAAGTTTTGTTTTGAAGATTTTATAAGCATGTAATAATTATTAGTCATTATTATAAAATTATATTTGAGAATTTAACATATGTTAAAAATGGTATTCAAAGTGTGGATAATTGCCATTGGGGGAGGAAGGGCAATTTTAATCCCTACTTTGCTTCTTCCATCACAATATATTCTCCTAGATCAGAAATTTAAATGTAAAAATACAACAATAATTATATTAGAGATCTTGGAAAATAAAATCCTGATGGTAAAAATAAAAATAGTAGATGGGCCGAATAATAGGATGAAAGGTTAGAGAACAAATAAGTGAGCAAAAGATAACACTGAGGGAAAGTAGAAATAAAGCCAAAATTACAATTATTTAGAAAATAACAAAAATGAGTGATTTGTATATCAAAACTTATGAGATCCAACTATAACCGTACTCAGAGAAAACCTTGTAGCCTCAATGAATATAAGAAAACAAGAAATAATAAAAATTACTATACACATATCATTTTCTTTATTGCTAGCAAAAAAAGCAATAAAGAAAGAAGAAATGAATTAAAAGGCAAGAGAATTTAATAAACTAAGGGGAAAATAGCAAAAATTTACAAACAGGTTCTTTGATAAAAATAATAATATAGTCTGAGTCTCATCACATAAAATCAATATTAGAAATAAAAGATAACTATAGATTCAAAAGAGATCTTATTTTTTAATCTATACAAAAGAGATGATTTTCCTAGGAAAATACAAATTTCTAAAAATTGACGGAAGAGAAAAAGAACAGGAAAAAAAAAACAGAAAATGTGGTCAGAAATAACCCCGTTAATAAGACCCAGAAAATGTCATTAGTTCTCTCAAGACCTTAAAGAAAGATGATCCTTTGCTTTTATAAA